ACATTCTCTAGGAAACCAGACCAGAAATGGGCTGAGGGCTGAGCCACAGATGGCCACCAGGACACCAGTTCTCCTGGAGCAGGCCTGCCCAGAGGCCCTTAAGAACAAAGAGAGCTGCTCTGTGTTTTATGCTTTGTCAAAACTGTGGAAGCTGAGGATGATAATGAGACAGCTAAAAAGGCCCGAGGGGCTGAGTTTCCTGAAGCTAGCAGCGTCAGTGTGGGAGGGGGCACTTAGCCCAGCCCAGGGAACAGCCACGCCTGCAGGCGATCAAAACACAGGGGCTCTTGGTCCTTGTCTCCATGCTACCCTCGGTATGGCCTTCCACAGACTTTGCAGGCCTTCCAGACTTTGTCCACCTTTCCCAGAAGCAGGAGGTGTTCTGCCGGCTCTGGAGTAGGCCCAGAGGCCTGGCTGCCATATCTCAGTCCTAGCTGGGAGTTCTGGACAAGTTTTATCTTGTGGTCCACAATCCACCTGCGCAGCCAGGCCCCAGGCCTTGTTTTGTTTGGGCTTTGGTGTTTCTTTTGGCCTTTCTGCTCTCTTGAAGCTCAGTCCCAGGCCTGGATTCAGTGCTGTTCCCTGGACTAGGCCTGTGGGAGCCCAGTGGGAGAACCAGACCCATGAGTACCTAATGCAAGAACAAGCGAGAATATGCAAGAACAGCTCTAGGAGGGGAGAAGGTGCCGGGGGCCACTTGAGGGCAGAGATGGGGAGGCTGGGCAGGCTTCATGGAGGAAATGGCACAGGGGCCAAGCTTTCATTCATTCAAATAACATGTCATGGGCCAGGCGCAGTTGAGAAGCTGGAATACAGTACCGAGTGCAGTTTCTTCTCTCAGGTGGCTCATATTCTCGTAGAGACAAGGCCATACATAGTGAGTATGTCATAGGGTAGTGTGGGCCGCAGCCAGTGATAAAGTGTAGCAGAGGGAACGTTGCTAGCTTCACATGGAATGGTTAGGACAGGTCTCTCTAATATGCTGAAGACTGAGCACAGACCTGAGGTGAGGCAGCAGGCCAAGTGGCCACCTGGGGGAAGAAGGTTCTAGTGAGAGAGAAGAACAATGGGAGGGCTTGGTGGTGAGTGTTGAGGAACAGCAGAGGCCTGTATGGCCAGGGGAAAGTAAACGAGGTGAAGAGGGAAAATGTGAGGTGGGCAGGTCCCATAGAGCCTTTAAGTAATTCTGGAAGAATCCAAATGGACAAGCCACACGTTTCTGACTTAAATCTTAAGTTCCATCCTGATAGCTGTGGAAAGGGTACAAAGGTTGAAGGAAGCAGTCCACTTAGGAGGCCTGACAGGAGATGACCATGGGGTGGACAGGGTGGGAGCATGGGGGTGGCAGTATGTGTTCAGATATTCTGAAAGTGAGCTTTCAGCAACCAAATTGGACAGGTCGAGACACAGGGAGGAAGAAGTCCTGACAGGCGCCCAGAGAGAACAGAAAGCACTGAGGTTGGGGAAGATGTACTCAGGTGGGTCTGGAGGTTAAGCAGGGGGCCCGAAACGCCTGGGTGAGGAGTGTGGACTCCATCTTGGAGGTAATGCGGCTGGAGGAAGGGGGTACCTGGTGGCAGAGGGGACGCTGAGCAGTGTGGGGCTGGGGAGGGCAATGGAGCAGAGGTGCAGGCTGCTAGGGATGAATCTTGCGTGGGTTCCCAGAAAGGAGAAGGCACTGCCGCCCTCCCGCAGGCTTGACGTGAATGGCCCACCCCACCACCTCCACATGGCCTCTATTCAGGCATAAGCAGGGGGCTCATGAACTCAAGGACCCCCTGAAACCAAACTCTGGTCCAGGGAAGGGGGTTCCTCTTGTAGACAGGAGCAAGCAAGGTCTGTCTTCAGGCTACTTGGTTTTACCTGAGGCAGGAGAGTCCAGAAAGAGCCTCTCTGCCCTGGAACACAGATGGGGCTGGGTCTGACATTTCTGTCTGCTAGGATTATCCATCCTCAGAGTCTGCCTGCTGCCCAGCTTCTCAGCTCCACAAGACCTTCCATGCCCCAGCCTGGTTCCCCATTCACTTCTCTCTGCAGAGAGGCCCTTCTCGGGGTCAATTTCTGCAAACCCTCCTCAGCTTCCACTGAGAAGGCAAAGGAGCAGGGGGGAACTGAGGCCTGCAGCAGGTAACAACACAGGAGGGCCCACACTGCTGACCTCAGCTTCCTCAGGCAGCCCCGTGACTCCTCCAGGGGAGGCACGCCCTGCACTCCCTCTCCTCCCCACCCCCAAGTCTGGGTCCCTGTTTGTGTCTGCCCTGCCCCTTAAGAACAGCTTAGGACAGCAACCAGGCTGTGCTCTGCTCTGGGATCCCTCAGTCCTGACCCAGAATGCTTATGGGCTCACAAGTAATTGGAGAGAGGTAGGATTTCCTGGAGGTGGTGGGTAGGCAGGAGAGGCTTGGAAAACAGGGGTGGAGGTAAGGAAGGAAGCTCTAAAGGAGCCTGCCCAGTGCATACCTCCTTGCCCTACTCTCCACGCCACAAGCCTAGAGCCCTTGCAGTATTTCCTGTGTGCTCCTCGTGAGCCAGGCCCCATGCCCTTACAAGCACCATTTCATTTGAGCTTCCCAGGAGTCCTGTCAGGTAGGCACTGTCATGCCCATTTCACTGAGCAAACATGGAGGCAGAGAACCCTCCCTGGTGGCGCAGCGGGTTAAAGCATAGCACTAAGAAGCTAAAGCCACTTCCGCATGAGTTCGATTCCCGCCTGCCCCGGAGGTGACCACATGGCGAGGCAGACCTCTCCTGACCTGCCCGCTGCCCCCTTTGGCAGTGGACTTCGTGGATCTGCCTATTCTACTCCCCTCTCTGTCTCTGGTGAATCCTCCCACCATCCCTGCACCTCTGGCCTTGTACCCAGTTCTGTATGAATAAATAAATAAATCTTTAAAAACAAAACAAAACATGGAGGCAGAGAGGTTGAGTTATGTGTCCAAAGTCACATGGCTACTAGCAGCCAAAGTATTGACAGGATTCAAAAGCAGACTTGAACGACCTCACTTGCTCGGTGCTCATTACTACGCACACTGTCTCCCAAGTCCCCAGTGACCCAAATGCACGAGTCCACCTAGGGCTAGCACGGGTCTACCCTCCATGGTGACCAGTTACCTCCACCCCAAGACCCCCGAAGTAAGCCTGGTCTACAACGGCCAAACTCCTGTGAATTCCACTCCCAGAAAGAACAACCACTTGCGAGCACGAGAACAGCAGCTGCTTGTTCCCATCAGCTGTGTTCCAGCCCAAATGGGATCTTCTATTTGTGGTCTCCCCAGCTGCACCTAGAGGATGGAGGGCACCCCTGCACTCTGCCCCTCCCACCCATGTCCTGTCCCATCCCCCCCCACCTTCCCCATCCTTCCTGGAGGCACCTCACACACTCACTACCTGCCCATTTCCCCACACTGCTTCCTGCTAACACCCCCTCTCCTCTCTGCAGTCAAAGGCCTCCCCCCAGGGACTGGCCTGATTGTTTTCCAGACCATCCAGGGGCAGGATCTGGAATTCTGATTCGAGGCACGCCCTTCTGCTCTGCAAATTTGGGGAACTGATTCCAAGGCAAACTCAGAATACAGACACAGGAAAATCTGTAAGAATACGGAATTCGAAAAAAGCTCCAGTTTGCGGAGTTGGAAAGTCCCACTTTCCTGTCCTAGGGATACTCAAACTCAGGATTTTGTAATTCTCAAGGTGAGGGGATCTTGGGAACTCTAAATTTGAGAGTCTGGTTCTAGTTCTAGTTGGGCAACTTCTTTCCACTTCCTCGGGCCATTTGTAAGATTTCAGTGTCGCCAATTTAGAAACCTACACGTCGATTTAAAAATTCATCCCCAAAGAGAGATAAAATCCTGAGAAATTTAATTTCAGCCATGACAATATTAACTTATTTGTAAATCTCATGATTTTAATGGTATTCGCAGAGCAATGGCAACCGGCTGGAGTGTAATCATGAAAGTCTGTGTTATTAGAAGTTAATGCCCCACAAAACACACAACTCCACCTGCCTTTGTAGCTCTATTTCTAAGACTGAATGTAGGTGGAATCTTGCACCCAAGGCTTCTGGGGTATTTGGGGGTGTCTGGGAAGGAGGGGTGAATTATACAAGGACTTCTAGGAAGCTCAGGAAATTCCCAGGCTTAGGTCCTTCCTCAATCTGGCCTTGCACCAGGGTTCTGACAGTTCGCATACCCAACATCACTGTCCTTCAACTGGGGCTTGAAGTCCTGCCCAGAGGGCCCAGCTGGCTGTGGAAGGGGCCAGAACTTTGAGGCTGCCTTCTGGTGGCCTCTTCCCTGCCTCCCCTTATCTCGGAGGCGGAATGAAACTGTTTGCCACTCTTGCCATGTCCAGAAAGGGGCAGAAGTAGGGGGAAGGGAAGAGTGAGGATTGGGGGAAAAACCACTGGCAGTCAGGTTGAGTCAGAAGAGTCGCAGATGACCTCCTGAGGTTATGGACACTGGCCAGGACGAGGGGATAGGAGGATGAGGACAGACTGACCTACAGGGACTGGGTACAGAGAGCTCACGCTGTGTGGTGAAGTCTGGGTGATGGGGAGGAGAGGAACAAGGACACTCAGTGGTTTCAAATGACACTCAGATGATCCGAGGCATTCCTCATCTCTTGCACCTGCTGGCTGGGGTAGGGTGGAGGGTGGGGTGCGAATTGGGGGGCTACCACACCCACTCTCCTTTTCCAGCAACTTGTGCCAGTCCTTCACCTGGCTCTTTTCACCAGATGTCCGCTCAAGCCCCTTTTCCCCAATACCCCGACTGCCCTTCCAATCCTCATTTCCCAGCCCTTTCCAAGTTTCCCGCCCGCGCCACTCCTCTGCCTTAGTCTCTCCAAATCACTGACTTCTCCAGTCGACCCCTCCAATCCCTCTTCTCTGACCCTGGCGCCCCAGATCCCGTCCAAGTGCTCCCCCAGCCCCGCTTCACCGTCCCCTTTCCCAATGCTCCCGCTTTCCCGAGCACGCATCCCGCGGAAGCCCTGGCACTAACCCGATTCGAAACAGCAGCCTCTTGCTGCGCGCCATGGGTAAGCCGCTGAGGGTCCGCTGCGCTCGGCAGCTGCGGGGGCTCGCGAGCAGGACGAAGACGAGGAACAGCAGCCCAGAGCCGGCGACCCACAGCCACGGCACCGGCCAGCTTCGCCAGGCCATGCTGGGGGCAGGCGCCCGCGCCGCACAGGGGGCGGGGCCTGGCGTTGCTAGGCGACGGCTCGGCCTGGCCCCACGCGGGCAACCTGGGCTTCGGCCCCGCCCCTGAGCCTGAGCGGGTGTGGGAGCGCCGGGCCCCGCCCCGTCTTCGACTCGCCTTCCAGCCCGCCTCTCCGCCGCGCTCGGCCGGCCGCTGGCTGGGAATGCCGAGGACCGGAGGCGGCCAGGCCTCGCCCCGTTTGGCGGGTCCCCAGCGGCCGTCGATGGCTCTGCGCTAATCCGGCTCCACAATTGTTACGAGTCCCGGGGCAGGACCGAGCCCGGTCGTCCGCTCCCCGCGCCCTCCCACCGTCCCCTCCAGGAAGACTGGGAGAAGCCTTGCAATAGCCCTCTTGGGGGAGACACTTTAAACTCCTAAACCTTTCAGCTGGAGAAACCTAAGCGCTCTTACGGGTCGGCTGCCCTTCATTCAGTAATCATTCACTAACCAAAGTTCTCTGTGTCTTTGTGTCAGGTTTCCACGGGTCAGAGATAAAACTCTCTGCATTCCTGGACCTACACTCTAGACTGCAGGGCCAAAACAAACCAAAGCAAACAGAGCCATATATTTGTATTCATACGCGCACGTACATACGTGTGTGGTTTAAATGCGGTGCTGTAAAGGAAGAGAACGCCGGCGGCAATGATTTGGTTGGCAGAGAGGTTCAAGGTAGACGTGAGGAGCCCGGGACATGTAGGTGGGACCCAAAGGGTGACAGGCCACAGAGCTTCACGGGAGCCATGCCACCAAGGTCTTGCAGCCTGGCTGATTTCTCCATACTCTTCCCAAACGCCTGCTACTGCTGCCTTCCTTGGGTCTCAGACGCTGTTTATGTCCAGGGGGTGGAAGCAGACTAGGGCCCGTATGGTGGTTTCTACAAACTTAGGCAAAGCAGAGCTAAGGCTGGGCTCCTTCTGGCTTCAGCCCTGGCCCAGGACAGGAAGGAAATGCTGCAGAGTCAATCTGCCCATCTGGGGATAGGGGTGGGGGTGGGGGTGGGGGGAAGGAGGGGTGGTGGGGGCAGATGGCTGGGGAGGGAAGAGAGGAAACCCTGCTTGTTTTCTGCCCTGTGTCCTGTGTGCTGACCTGAGAGAGGCTAGAAAACCTGACTCCAAATCACACATTTTCTCTCTTTCTCAGATAGTCTCTGATTAGATATTTGATCTAGAGACGGAGCTCTCAGTGTGGAGATTATGCCAAGTATAAGATAATGTTAAGTACAAAGAGTTGAAAACCTGCTCCTGCCCCTCAAAGTCAAGACATACAGGTTAAATTATACCCAAACTGAGTTGGAATCCCAACACCTAATCCTGAGTTTCATTCAGAAACCCCAGCCAGAAGGAGTGTTTCTCAAGTGGGCACATTTGAGAGCCAGAACCTTCACCAGGCTTGCTCTGTCTTCTGACCCAGAGTGCAGCTTCTCCGTGCCTGGCTCATAACGGACTCTCAATAAATTCAGATGGAATTGAATTAAACTTCCCATTGTGCATGCTGCTGAGGAGGCTGAAGACTAAGAAGACAGATAAGCTAATCAGCAGAAAGCCCTGTCAGAACAACAGAGTTCTTTTTTCTCTTTTTAAATTCAATTTATTTTTTATACTAGTAGTATGTCTCTGCATGCAAAATGAAGAATTGTGAAGCATCATCAAAAGTCACTGCAAACACACCTTTCTGCAGGTAAGGTTGTGCCAGGTATTAAATTGAGAAATTAACACGATCCTTGTCATCTGAAACAGGAAATGCAGGCTCGGGCATGGCCTGCAGAGAATAGACTGAATCCTACATCGGCGGCCACAAATTAATAAGATTACAGATAATGATCCAAGATATATAGTATGAAGTACACCCACCACAGGCCTGGGAATAAGGATTATGGGTGGGTGTTTTAGGAGACACATGCTCGGTCTCACACAGCTTCCCTCCCCTGGATCTTCCTGGAAGACTTCCAAGTTCTGCTTCAAATCTGCTTTAGTTTTACCTCCTCACCCAGGAGAATCTTCTTAGCAGACATGCACCTCATTCTTTACTGTCTCCTGTACTTTATATCCTACGAGACCTAACAGCTTGTGTTTCCCTGAACCCATCATATTATTCCACGTCCTGGCGCTGGTGCATGTGTGTACCCAAACACTCAGATCAGGTGTGTTCTCTTCAAGAAAGCTTTATTTTCCTCCCTACGCTGGCCCCTCCCTCTACGCTGACTCTAGGTCTTGGATGTACGTCATCATTCAATGTAATACCTAGGCTCTGTATTTTTTGTTTACACATCTATCTATCTATCCCAAGTCTAGAGTTTCCAGGACTTCACAGTTTTTGTAAGAGTGCGAACTATGATTACATTGATTCATCTTTGAAGCTCCAGTGTCTGACATAGTGTCAGACATACTAGAGACTAACAAATGTTCCATGAAATGTCCAGCTCTGAGGCCTGCGTGGTGGGGCCAAGCCCACCTCCTCCATCCCCTCTGACGCCTCTCCCCTTCCCCCCAGAGACCAGCTCTTCAAATGTTGCCAAGCTCTTTCGCAACTTGGGGCCTTTGAACTTCCTCCACTTGGAACATTCTTTCCTGGTTCTTTAAAAAGCTGGAAGCTTCTCCTCTTTTGGGTCTCAGCTCAAAGGCCAACCCTTCTGATAGGGAAATAACCTGTATTTTAAGCTGAGTGGTGGTTAGGTGGCTTATAGCCTGTCCAGTGTCCAGGAGATACTTAACAATGTCTGGAGGTGTTTTGACCAACACACTGGGGGTGGGGCGGGGTGGGACGGGGTGGGGTGGGGTGGGGAGGTGCTACTGGTATCTGGTAGGTAAAGGCCTGAATGCTGCTAAATGTCCTACAATGCTCAGGACAGTCCCATCACCAGCAAAAAATGCTCTCCAGCCCCAAATGTCAGTAGCACAGCTGAAAAACCCTGGCACACGCAGATGTGAAAACCACCGATTTGTCCACTAAAAATGTGTGCTCATCAGATGTAAGTAGCACATCAAATGCAAGGGGAAATGTTGGCCTTTCTGAGAGCCGTCCCCCACCGCTCCAGTGCTCTGTGCCACTGCCCTGTTCACTTCCTGCACAGCCTGACACTATTTTGTGTCTGCCACCTGACTGGAATTCAAGGCCATGAAGACTGGGCGGGACGTCTGTCTCCACACAGCTGTATTCCCAGAGGCCTGCAATGCCCAGCCCAGAGCAGGCGTCCAGTTAAGCATTTGTCAAGCCAGTGAGTGAATGAAGGAAACAAAAAATGAATGAATGACAGTCTGACGATAGCCACTGAGCACTGTGACTGCCGGCAGATGGGACCCCCTTGTTCTGACCTGTGGGTTGGGTCCCCACAGGGCTTCTGCAGGGGTCACACCCCCTCTGGAGGGCAACTTGTGAACAGGGAGTCAGAACAAACCCATTTCTCAGAACAAACCCATGGGACTCAGGAGCCCATGTCTGAGGAAACCACACACTCCAGCTTGTTGGTCACGACCAAACCTCTTCCCCTGAGCACTTGGAGGGGCAGTCAGGTGATCGGCAGTCTCGCAGTCTGGCCAGTGGTCAGCTGGTTTTAGAGCTTAACTCACAAAGAGCAAGTTCCCTTCCAGGTCGGGGGCAGGGAGGGGTTCTCGAGTTGGCCCCTGGTCCATTCCCATCCCAGTCTCTGTCCCTGGTGTCTGACTCCTGCCTCCCAAGCTAGCCTGCGAGCTTCCCTTGGGATGGAGAGCCCACCTTTGTCTTCTTGTCAGAGCTTGATGCCTGGTGCTCGGCTGGCATCAGGAAACCATGAGTATTGGTGATGAATGGTGATGATGGTGGCGACCATGATGATGATGGCACAGTCATGAAGGAGCTGAGATGGTTGGAGCTGTTCGGATGTTAGAGAAAAGAGAAATTGTGTTGGCGGAGGGTGGGGCTAGGCCACCTTAGAAAAGTCAGCTAAGTGCAGAAGTGGTGGGAAGGATCACCTGGCCCCCTCCACAGCCCCCCCCCCCCCCCACACCCATTCACCCCCTCCCCTGTTGCCCCACCCCCAGGTCACCTTCCCACTGTGGGCTTCCCTCTGAGCCCCTGTCTTGTACACCCTGGAAGCCTAGTGGCAACAGATGCCCCCACAGCCTCTGCCCTCCACACCCTGCCCTGCCCCCACGGATACGACCCTCTTTCCCAGCTCCTCCTCCCTTCCCGCCATCTTGCTTCTGGAGGGGAAAACTTTGCCACCTACATTGATCATGTGCTATTCCAGGTTGAGTTTATTGCTTCTCCTACTTCATTTAAAATTTCAACCCAGCCCTCATCTGTCCAAGCACTGACAAAGCCCAGATTCAGCAGAGTCAGATGCTGGTGTTTAATCTTCCTGCCACCATCTGGTAATTCCAACTATCATGGTTCAGCCGACATTTTAGCTCACGACTTCTCAAACCTTAGGGAGCCGAAGTGTCTGACTCCTGCCTTCCCCAAACTGGCCCCTGAACTTCCCTTGCGATGGAAAGCCTGCCTTCATCATCAGATCACTCAGGGGCTTTCACCATACAGAACCCCCTTCCTCTCCCCAAGGGATTCAGGCTCAGTCAGTCTGGCTGGGGCCCAGGAGTCTGCACTGGGTGATTCTGAACTCCGCCTTGGGCTCAGTCCCTGACCTCAATTCTGAGACTGTCAATGCAATTCAACAGCCTACACGTTGGTTCACGCCCTGACTTCCCTTGCAACTTCTCTCTCTCTGAAAACCTAATTCCAGTGTCCATTTATTTCTGGCCACCCTGTCCCCATTCCACTTGCTCCTCCATCTCCAGCACCTCAAGCCATCTGTTTTCTCCCAGCCCTTCAGTTCCACCTGCCCATGTCTCTCCTCTCCCGGTGTGACCTTGGCTTCAGGCTCTCATACTACGCAGCCATCAGTTCCCCCTTGTGCCTCACAGCTTAGCCTGGCAACCTCCAGACCTGACGACACCGACCGGACAATCCACCTTTTCTCCAATCTCCTGGACGGGGCGGGAGAAAATGG